AAGCCCTGCACTCACCCTTTATGTAACCTGAATTTGCTGTGAGCGAAGAAAACCAGTGAAAATGCATTGAACAGATGTCCCTATTTACCCGGGACAGTCCCAGTTTGGAGCCCAGTGTCCCCTGTCCCAGAAGATTTATCCAAAAGCAGTGATTTGTCCCAGTTTTATACAAGAAATGTCCCACGTGTCCCTATTTTTTAACCAATCTGATCCCTGCCAACAGTAAAGAGAAGCATAAACTGACATCTGTTTAGGTAAATTACAGAAAAGCTGCTTAAAAATGACCAAAACACAAAGAAAATGTGACTAACCTGACTCAGATGTTAGTCGTAAATATGTTGACGAATGAATGGGCCGAGTGCAGAACACTTTTTCTTAATTACGAAATTTTAATTTTATTTTATTATTATTATTTTGTTTTTTTATTACCAACCACCATAAACCTGGGGTATCCTGTATATTTTTTTTATTTTGAAATCAAATTGCTATAAAACAATTCTTCTTCTTCTTCTTTTAATTAACAACCACCACAAACCAGGGGTATCCTAGTTTTTTTTTTTTTTTTATTTTGAAATCAAATTGCTATAAACCAATAATTCTTCCTCTTCTTTTTTATTTTATTTTATTTTAATTAATTATTTTATTATTATTTTTAAGATCAATAGCATAACGACTTTCCCAGACGCATTGTGGGAAAAATAAGAATTTACAAGAGCAGCGCGGTAAAAAGTTGTCTGTGTGCGGCTAAAAGCTAGCATCCAGAGAAAATGGTAATATTGTGAACAAGGTACGTTAAACGTTGAATATATATTACACTGACATTTTTAAATAGAATATTCATTTTAAACGTGTAAAATGTAAAATATGTTTGAAGGCGTTTCTCGTTTTGTGATGTTTTCGGGTGAGGACGGCGCTATTCCAGAAGACTTCCGGGACAAAAACGTCTTATTGTGAAGGCGCTCCATGCTCGTTTCCGGTGTGTTTGACCGGGAGCGGCTTGACGGCTCTCCCCGGTGCGCCTCAACTCCGCTTACCTGACTCTGCAGACGCGTCCGGCGGATGAGGACAGCGCGCACACGGGGAACTGCCCTTTTCTCTTCTTCTCACTTTCCTCATTTGGAAAAAAGGACTGGTGCGCTGCTCTGAGTTTTCTCTTTTCGTTTGTAGTTGCCCTCACGATAAAAGTGAGTTTGGATATCTGCGGGGGGAGGAGGCAGAGGAGCGGCGGACGGCTCACAGATGGAGCTCCGGGGCTCCGGGAGCACAGGGCGCACAGCGGACCCGGAGTGACTGACGCTGTTGGATGGACGCTGCTCCCCGGTAAGAGCCGCTGTTAAAGTTTGTGGCTTCTGTCTTAATTGGAAAATACTTTTAAAAGCTTTAGTGTCCCGGGCTTTGGCTTGTCTGAATGATGAGGCTCAGTGGAAAAGATCCAGCTCCATGATGTCGCCTTTTTGTTAGTGACGAAGGATCCTCAGAAGAGGGAGAATTTATTTAGGCAACAAAATGATATCTTTGACAACTTGACAAGGATGGATCACGTGTATACAGGTCAACAACAGCTAGTCTATGGCCAGATATGTTTTTCAGGCTTCTTTGTTTGACATTTTTCTTAACATTTAGACTTATAGCACATTAGTTTCATATCTGGTAATTGCTTGCCTAACAAATACAACTGAATATTGGTCTTTCTGATGGCTATTACCTGCTCACCTATTGATTTGTCCTCTGTGCGGTTACAAAAAGTCTGCTTTGACAGTTGGATAATTCCTGCATTTGTGACGCATGTATGTACAGCCTGAATAGACTGCACATTTCTCTCATTACATTTCAGAGCTGCATTTTTCTCGGGGTAAACAGCACATTTAATCTCATTGTGGTTATGACTAAAAACCCTTGGAAAGGAGGAAAAAAATGAAAATATTCCAGCAGCTTTTAATAGTGCTTCTGTAATCCTTAATTGATGTACGCCCAACAGCTACTTTTGAATAACAACAAAACTCCTTCAAATGCCTGGCCCTGGGCACTTTGACAATACTGCCTGCCCGTAATGGAAGTGAAGAAGAACGCTGGCAGATTGGATCATTATTTTGCTTACACCAGGTATTGAACAGTACTCCAGGTTTATCAACTCTCTCTTTCTGGAATGAGCAATGATTGGCCTGGACTTCTATTGTCTTGTGTTCCTTCTTCCTATTCATCTATAAACTATTCAACTCAATAACAAACTGGAAGCTTTGGGAAAAAATACACCAAGATCTCTGGGGATCAATAAGTGATGAAGCGAACACACGGCGCAGCAGTGGGGAGCTCTCACTGTGGAGCTCTCACTGTGGACTCGTGACAGGGAGGAGGGCTGCATAGTTAAGTCACATTTTAACTGTTCAAATTTGCAGTTATATATAAAAAAATAAACAATATTGGATTAGGAGAACAAAAACTTGTGGTAAAGTTATCAATTCCAATTTAGTTTCATAATTACAGGAGTCTTTGTTCTTACAATAACAGCTATTTGAAATCAGTGTTCAAAATAAAAGCATAATGGGCTATAGACTCTGATAATTGACAATATGAAACTATTAATCTGAAGTCAAATAAAATGCAGTTAATTGCACAGTACTTTTAGTAGTCCTTTTCCTGAGATTGGTTTCCTTCCTGAAAATAGTATCAGATATAAATATGAAAACCCTCAAGAATACAGCAAAACACAGTTGTAAAGAAAAAGAAGAAGACGAATCAAGATAAGATAAGCATACTCTACCAACTAACTACTAATAACAGCAACACTGAACCTGAAGTAAATAGAACATTTGTGTCAAAGCAAATGCTTTGTGTCAGTATACAGTACCTTTGACACATGTGACCTTTTAAAGGCCCTGTACTACACAAAATGGATTCTCATGAGCTTTAAGCCATGTTATATTGCTGTTACCTCCTCAAAAACAGACCTGGAGTTGAGTTTTGTTTCATTCACTTAATTATTATTAGTCTGCCTACATCTCCAAAACCCAAAATGCACTGTTCCACTTTCAGATGTCATGAAGCGGTACAGTAGTTTTCAAGTTAACAGCTCCTTTTACCTTTAGTTCAGTAGAGTTTGGCAATTTTAGGGCTGAAATTATCCAAATGATTCTAGTGAATGTGTGTGGAGTTTAAAAACACAGTGGAGCACATGACATCACAAGGTGGAACAGAGAGTTGTCTGTTTCAGCCTAAATATGCAGGATTTGTGTATTGAACATGTACATGAAACAAAGCAAAACTCCGGGTCTGTTTGTGATGATGAAACAACTTTATAGCATAGTAATAGAGGCCCTTTAAAGTCTCCTTGCCATGCTGCCAACATGCATCACTCACCACTTTTTCATACAATTATAAGGCATTTTGATGATTTGATTTGATGATGTTATTTTTTATTTCATGGCACAAAAGCCAACCACCTAACCTATTTCTTCATAAAAAAAATTTAAAAAACGCATTGAAATCTGAAGTCCCTGTGTGTGACTGGTAGTTATGACAACAGCCAGCTGACTTTGCCCTTTATGTGACTCCATGTTAAGTCACAACTCTAGTGTAATAAGTCTGAAAGCTTCAACTTAAATTAATCACCTTATAGAGCATTGGTAATATCAGTCTATATGTATCCACACAGCTCAGATCTCTAAGCCACTTTTTCTCTATGCACATCCAGATTGTTTAAAGCCGTCTGGATTAAAAGCATCAGCAGTAATGACCTCTTGTCATCGCTCAGAAGCACAGCTGTGGGATTACTGTGTAACAAAGGGATTCCTGTGCTTCCTGTTGTCTGCACTGAGCCTGTTTGCACCTTGGCTAATACCTACCTGTGTTTAACGGTGAGCTGTGTCCATGATGCACGGGGCAGAGATGGCCTGATATCTCCTAAATCAGTGAACAGTAGTTTTATTGGACACAAATGAACATGGCAGTAGAAAAAAAGACATTTCAGAATTGCTTGTCAAAAAAATACATATGAGAATTGCTTGTCAGAAAAAGACATCTGAGTATTGCTGTTTTAAACTGAAATTAAATTCAGGCTTTTAAATGCTCCAAAGAATCTGCAGTTTTGTAAATACTCCTGTGCCTGTTTGAACTGTTTTAACACATGCACCTGGAGAACAGCATGTTCACTTGCCACCTGTCAGCATCAAAAATGAAAGATTCAAAGCAACATGATTATGATTATTCATTTCTTTCATTCTGTTTTTTCTCCTTCATCAAAACTACATCAGTAAGGGAATCATACTACTCATAGTACATAGTATGAGTACAAAACTTGGCACATATATTCTTCCTCTACATTACATCTATGTGTAATTGAAGAATTGGCCAAACACACATTTGAATATTAATTAAAACATTTCGATATGATATGTGATGACACGACACAAACACAAATAAATAATATAAATACATTTCCACTCATCTTGAAGTTAGTCCAGGACAGGTTTACCGATCCAGTTTTTACTCTGTATCAACAAATACCAGAGAGATGACATTTCTTTCCTGCTAACACAAATAATCAAAACTGATCTGAATGTGACATTTCACAGTTATGTTCCCGATCCAGTACACTTTATTGAACTGGAATTGGAGACAGTATCATTATCAGTGCATCTCCGCTTCAATATGCCTGAAGAGGAAAGTGTTCATCCCCAGTTTTTATATGGAGGGCCGTGGAGTAATAATTCTAAAGTGTTTGGAATTTCGAGAGAAGGTATTCCCACATGTGTCTTAAATTATATAACTGACAAATTGATTAAGTAAAAGCCAGAGTTTTTGCTGCCGTGATTACAGGGGTTTTGTAGCAGAGATTATGATAGGGCTAAAGGCAGAATTAAAATATTAATGTAATTGCGATGTGGATAAGTGCAGTGGGGGCTGAACATGTTATCATTGTGCAGCTGCAGATGTGCCACAGACGGCAGATGAAAAGGACCATATTCACTAAATACACATCGCAATAACAATTTCAGATCAGCATGGCTCCTGTTCACTCGCTGCCACTGAGCCTGCTAAATCCAGTAATGCTGATTCACTGGTGTGTCTGTTAGTGAAAGAGACGTGCTGGACCAGACTGCACCGACATAAGGGCCATTATGGTTATGATGACAAGTTACTCCTTTCAGGTTATTACTGTATATTTAGAGGCACTGCTCAGTTCTGGCAGCTTGTCAGTGGGCAGGATTGTGCTACTGTGTTTTCTGACAGCAATACTTTAACCTTAACCTTAACCTTGTAAACCTGATTATTGATGAAATCCCCTTGCCCTGGTAAAATGGTGGATCCCATGTGCGTGTTGTAGGTTCAGGCTGCTCCCAGCACAGCCATGACGGGCCAGAGCCAGGACCCAGACCTGAATGAGCAGCAGCGCGGCCCCGCAGACGAGGAGGGCGACGAGGAGGAGGAAGGCGAGCATGTGCGCGTGTCGGTGGAGAGAGAGGACAGACAGCTGGAACAGGAGCCCGATCTGGATCTGGACAAAGAGGAGAAGGAGGAGCTGCCGTACCCCACTCTGGCCCCTGTGGTCCTCCTGGCTCTAACGCAACATAGCCCGCCCCGCTCCTGGTGCCTGCGAGCCGTCTGCCACCCATATCCTTCACCTTAAACAGTGCGTCAGAGACACATTGTCTGTTTGTGTTGGAGCTCTGGGCTTCCTCACCGCTGCAGGTCTTACACCAAACAGTGTGCACATGTTTATGTTAGCTCTAAACACAGGGGACATGTGGGGGTCAGTGTGTATGAGAGAGCACAGCACCTCAGGTATTTTCTTGGACCCATTAGTTGTAGAAAAAGATGGCTAACATTTTTGCCTGATTGGAGGTTTCCATAGTGACGAGCCCTAATGAATCTCCAGGGTTACACTCGGCTGTCAGTGGCATTGTTACTGGGCCACATTTACCCGACACAAGCAGTCACAAATAGTGGAAACGTCATGTCACCTCCAAAACTGCCGCTCCTGTCTTCATTGTCTCAGCTCACACTTCTCTGTCTCTCGCTGAGCTCTCCTCCAGCAGACTAAGGTGTGAGCATGTGAGCATGTTTAGGAGGAGTGAGCGCCTATGAATACTCTGAAGCTGGCATAAACGTCAGCAATACCCCAGGGATTTGTCAAGCCTTCCAAATTGAATCTTTTCCACTGCTTATGGCCCCTCTGTGTGCTGGCTGTGTGCATAGTCTTGTGGTTTTGGTGTCCGCAATTGCCATTATAAGCTCACTATGGCACATCAATATAAAAATATAAATGATGGGCTCAATAACATACAAAAAGAGAGTGCAAATGCCATGCTCAGTGGCTTGCTGGGTTGTTACTATGGTCACACTGAGAACATGGACTTTGTGTGTCAGCATAAGTTAGTGAACACTCTTAAACACGCGCACACACACGAGTGAATGCCCTTACACAGACGAGGGAATCTCCCATGGAGAGGCTCTTTAGAGGAATCACCTGGTTGCCTGGCAACAGAGTAGCTCGGCTCCAGCGGCCCGCTTACTTCCGCTCACTGTACTTGTTTATTGTGTGTGTTGCCGTGCCCTACTCATAGCTCTTCCTGGCATGTGTCACGTCCTATACATGGAGTATTTGTGCCGAGTACACTGGTGTTGTGTGTGTGTGTATAGTGAGTGATCTGCGGGGGCTGTGATGTGATTGGCCATGTTGGACAGAGACATTAATATGAGCACACTGGGGGTGGCCTCTCCCATCAGCTGTACTGGCGTCTCTCCTGAGGTGACCCCATCTTTTTCTGCCTCTTTTGCGCTCACTACACAGTATTAAGGATTAATTTTCCGTCTCCTTCCATTTCAGTGCGCTCAGCCTCACAGTCGTCCTCTGTAGAGCGTGTTTACAGCATCATGTCTCTTCTCCCTACAGCGCAGCTTTCTCTTTCACCAGCTTTTCTTCTGGAACACAAACAAAAAGGGCTTTGGCTATTGTGTAACTTTCTCTTGTCATTTGTCAAAGCTACATCGATTCCCATTATTTTTCTTTCTATTTACTTTGGTGTCTTGATTCTCTGTAAATGGGGAATAAGGAGCCGTCTTTGTAAATGTCTCAGCATTTTTATAATTCCCTGTATGTTTAAAGCACTGTTTCCGCTGATTCATCCACTATTTCAACAACTATGTGCAGACAGAACTTTGGCTTTGGTATTACCAGATGCTGTTTTGTACCTTTTTCCTCTCATTTCCGATGCTTATGCTTTTTTCACTCCACCAAAGCTCATTTTTACTTGTCTCATGATGATAAATATAGAGAAATAGTTTGGTTTGATCGTGTTACTGTTTGAGATCTGACCTTGCCTTTGAAGCTCTGAATTGTCTCGTGATTTCGTTGATTTTGATAAAGTGACCAGTAATGGTTGATCAAAAAAATGTGTTTCTGGCAAAGAGGCAGAATGTTTGAAGTTACTAAGAGAATTTAATTGTTTCTGGAACTATAGTAACAATATCCTTTTTTGCAGATAAATATTAAGCTCAAATTAATCAAAAGTTCGAGCAGCAAGAAAAAAGAAAGCAAGAATTTTCAAATGAATTATACATTTGTTTTAATAGTGACAGTGAGAGTTTGGTTTGAATATCCCTAGTTTGCTTTAATGTATCGCTCACATACACACAAATGGCGATGGTGGTGGGGGCAAACACACACCCCAGACATAACTTATTCAGCGGCACATGAAAGATTTAGAGCATTTCCTTTGTTTAAAGATGAGAATGCTGATTGCGGTCCTCTTGTACAGTACAGGCACCTTCCCCTCACTGCCTTTTTCTCATCGTCTCATTACCAACTCTTTTTTTTCATTTATACTTTTTATTTGTCCACCTCTTTCTTCATCAGGTTAGGTTTCTCTTGTGATGGATTGGAGGAGGTTTTAGTCAAAGTAGGGAGAGCTGTCAGAATCATTGCAGCCAATTAACATGGATCGCACAGATGTTGCCATGGTTACCAGTTGTCATTGTGTCCAAGGGCGGGGTAAGGGACTTGGAGAACTTGACAGTAACTTTGCTTGGTTCGTTTTATATGGCTCAGAAAAAATTAAAGGGACACTTTGAAAACACATCAGATCTTAATGTGAAAAAAATGTTGGATATCTATATAAATATGGCCAGGGTAATGTCTTAGGAACAAAATTATGCCACTTCTTTTAATGGAAATGACATTTTCAGCCTACAGAGGGCTTCATTTTACAGGCACCCTGAAAATCAAAGTGAAATAATGATGTGGCAGTCTAGTCCATTTTGCCAAAATGTAATTTCTGTAACTCAAAATGCTTCTCAGTCTCTTGTGCGGCCCCCTCGTGCTTGTCTGCATGTTTGATGACTCCTAATGAGACAACGGATGGTGTTTTGTGGAATGTCCTCCCAGATCTGTGTTAGGGCATCACTGAGCTCCTGTAGGGTCTGACGAGCAACCTGGCGGCATCTGATGTACCCAAACATAATGTCCCAGAGGTGTTTTACTGGGTTTAAGTCAAGGGCCATTCAGTTGTACCAGTCCCTTCATCCTCCAGGTTCTGCTGCAGATCCTTGCCACATAAGGAGGAACCCAGGACCTACTGCACCAGCGCAGGGTCTGACAATGGTTTCAAGGACTTTATCCCAGTACCTAATGGCAGTCAGACTGCTGTTTTCTAGCCAAGGTGTGTGTGTCTGTCTATGGATCTGCCTCCCCAGACCATCACTGACCCCCCACCAAACCGCTCATGCTGAACCATGGTGCAGGCAGCAGAGCGTTCTCCTTGTCTTCTCCAGACTCTTATACATCTATCACAGGAGCAGATACGGATCCTGCTGATGGGTTGAGGACCTTCTATGGCCCTGTCCAATCTGTGCAACTTCAGTGGCCTCATATTCCCAGTAGTGATAATCACTGTAGCTAAAGCAGCACTAGTGGAAAACCAGCCAAAAAACACCAAGAGGGAGAAATGTGAAATGACCTCCACATGTAAAACCAGTCCTGTTTTAGAGGTTGTCTCATTGTTGCCAGTCTATCTGTTACCTTTTGTTCATTTCCATTAAAAGATGTGACATCCTAAGACATTGCCCTGTCCAAATTTGTATACATACTCAACATATATTTCTTTCACACTGAGATCTGTTCGTTTTAGAGCAGTGTATTTTTTCCCCTTAGACATGAAAGGCTTGGTGTTAATCTGGGCTATTGCTCATCAAGTCTGTGTGTTGTGATTCCAATGAGGGAGACCTCATTGAGACTTTTTAAGATTTCCATCCAAAACTATTGAGAAATAGTTACAGCTCTAAATTTAACAAGATATATTATACCCATCATGTGATCCATCTGTGGATTTATTGTTAAAAATGAGTGTTCTAGTAAAATTAGACTAGAATTGGCACAAGGTGGAAAGGAATCTTGTCGCATTACTATTGAGTATGTAAAACTGCATTGGCTGTTTTCATATTATAGAATGTAATTATGTCCCTCTCTAAGATGGAGCCAGAAGCTTTTTTGTGATATTTTAGTGTTATTACAAAGCATTTTCTTAAAGAAAGGGTATAATGCAAAATCATTTTTTAGCTTTCTACCATGTCATCTAAAAAAAAACCATCTATAACATGAAGAGGTCAGCCATGTCAGTAATCTAGCGACCTCGCTGTCTCTCCCTCATTATGGTTAAGTGATTCTGTCCAGTGTTCCCACACAACAATTCTCCATAAATACACAAAAACTTGATACAAAACTGTACACAGCAACTTGACAAACCTGATGGGATGTGCAGTAGTGTCATTAGCGGGATGCATGCTGATTGTGTTGTGCTGGAGATGATTTTAATCACATACAAATTGCTTGATTTGAGGTTTTCATTATTTTCTGTACCAGCTCACGTTGCTCATAGTGACAGTAATGTGGTATTGACAAACAGACATTGCCAAACTTGTCAAGTTGATGACTCTTTTCTACACACCTGTCTCCAGCTTACTCCTGTCTGCCGCCCACATACATTGGAACTGGAGTCAAAACTCCCACATAGTTGTGGACTTATACAATTGAATTGAAATCCAAATAAATATTGTAATGTATAGTTAAAGGTGCACTATTAAACATTTGTGGTGGAGGGTCCACCACCTGCTTGTCTCAATGGAAATATTGCTGTGTCTAGAATGTTCCACAGTGTTCATTAACCTTTCCAGACCAACAGCATAAAAAATTTTAATTTAAGATGAGAAAAGTGGCTTTCCAAGCATATTTCCGGCATTATCCTACGTCACACACACTGAGTGATGACGTAGGGAAAACATGTGTCTAATACCAACCTCGTTGGTATTAGACACACATTCGCTCCGTCCACTTTGATTGAGCCAAACTTTGCCAGTGTAGTGAGTCAAAAATGGTCGACTGCTCTGAGTGTCTGTGTTCAATTGAAAAAGCCGCTCTAAGTGCAGTTATTTCTCAAATAAATGGCAAATTACACGTCTGCAAAATTGCACGTCCCTCGCTATTTTTGTTTGAAATGTTTATTTCAATCAAAATGTCCAAATCCAAATGTAATAAACCCCATGGAAATGCAAGAAGTGATGTGGCTCTGTGCCCTGGACCTGACACCAGCTGTTTCCATGACTGACACCAGGAAAAT